TCAGAATAGATTAGTTTTGGTCGTCCGCGTCGTGCTATAAACCGCTTGAGACTCGAGAGGAACTCGTTTAATTCCATGGAATGAAGCACTTCAAGATGTACAGCCCTCGTAAGACTACATCCGTACAGAACCAAATACGCTTTCTTTGAGGTTTTTCCTTTTGTCCGATACCGGATCGGACCCGCGAAATCGACACCGAGAACTTCGAAGGCAGTAGTTCCTTGCGTACGAGTGGTAGGCAGGTTTCCGGGGGGTGGGTTCTCGTATGATTGCACTCGAAACCGTTTGCAACCCCAACAATCGCTCCGCACACGTTTAACAAGCTGTCGTAGCTTTGGGACCCAGTAATGATCCCTGATCTTTGCCATAGTCATGGCAACTCCGCCGTGAAGAGTGGTGAGGTGAGCTTGTTCGACCAGTTTACGAGTGAAGAGGTGATCTTGTGGAAGGAATATAGGGTAATCTCCATCGATTCGGCCTCGACATTCCAAGACTCCCTCCCCGTTCAGCTGAAGATTTAGTTGTACCTTCGACTTCTCGATCTCACCGTTAATCGCTGCGTCTTGCTGTGCTCTTTTGGTCCACCAAAGATACTGATCTTGGATCTCGGCTGTTTTTAACGGTCCGGTTTCACGTTCGCTGATGGGACACTTCGAATTGTTGACAAATCTTCTAACCCTTGCACCGATTCGGGTGACTTTCCGTAAGCCATGGGCTTCGAGGAGCTTGTCCATGCGATCGTCATCACGCGTTATTGCTGTGGCAAGAATACTTTTCGTAACCTTTGCTTCGGCGTTTGTTTCTGGACTGGATTCAATTATCGCGGATTTCGGCCACGTCCCGGGATCACTCAGCCATTCTGGACCGTTCGTCCATAACTCATTATTCACTGTGCTTCCACCTCGACTTCCGATATCCGCTGGGTTTTCTTCGGTTGGAACGTAATGCCACTGGATGTTACTGTGCTCTCTAATTTTCCTCACGCGGTTTGACACGAATTGTCGATACTCTCCTTGTCCGTTAATCCAGTACAGGGCCACGGTAGAGTCACTCCAACAATGAGTTCCGTTCACTTCGTAGTTTCCAATTACCCTTTCGACATTCGACACTAGATTGGTGGCCATATGTGCTGACACGAGCTCGAGACGCGGGATTGTAAGGTTTTGTTTGGCCAACCGTGATTTTGCGCAAACTAAACCTTGAGTCTTAGTCTCCCCTTGCTGCACCACTGCGTACACTACCGACGAGACACCCGACTTACTTGCATCACCGAAGGCATGGAGGGTAACCGCTGTTATAGGTTGGTGGACTGGGGCCAAGGTTCGTGGAATGGTAAATTTCTTAGAAATCAAGGCTCCCCATTCTTCCCACCGTCGTTTCATCGCTTCGCACAACTCTCCGTCCCATGGAAGTTTCGCTTCACACATTTCGCGATAAAGTATCTTTGCTATTAAGGTCGTTGGAGATACCAACCCAAGGGGGTCATAGATTTTTGCAAGCTCCGAGAGAGCTTCACGTTTCGTTGCTATATTCTTCCGAGGCGAGGTTACAATGCTCAAGGTATCTTCAATTTTGTTCCACGGAAGTCCTAAGAGTTTCGTATCGCATTTTCCCGATCCAAGTTGTTCTTTGGCGTAGGTCACTTCATCTTCGTTTGCTGGACTCGACTGGTTGTGATTCTCTAAGGTAAGATCGCTCGAGTGCCACTTGTGAAGTTTGAATGTCGCATCTTCGAACACCTCAACTGCTTGTGATCTTTTTGCTGCCACGGATTCCACGTTCTCTCCCCCCGTAATCAAATCATCGACGTATAAATTATCACGAATTTCCCTGACTAATTCTGGGTATTTGTCTTGCCAGAGCTTCAAGTGTTCATTGATTACTCCTCCAAGGAGAAATGGAGAGCAAGTCAGGCCAAACAGCGCGCGAGTAAACCGATACACACTTAATTTTCCACTTCCTGGACTTTCCCAAAAGAACCGTAATGCGTCTCGTTCTTCCGCCTTTATGCGTACTTGGAGGAAGGCTTTCTCGATATCACCCGTTAAAAGGACTGGGTAGAATCGCGCTCGTACGAGGATTTCCCACAATCGGTTTTGAAGTGGTGGTCCAGGGTTTAAACACTCGTTTATGGACGGTTGGCAGCTCTGTTCCTTCGCGGAGGCGTCGTAAACAATCCGTAATTTCGTGGTTTCAGCTGATTTCTTTACGACCGCCTTGTGTGGAAGATAATACTCTTTGTCTACAGGTTTGTTTGATGCTTCTTCGATGATTCCCTGCTCGAGTTGTTCACGAATTATTCCGTCGTACTGTTCGTAATTTCCATCCCGCTTTAGCTTTCTCACCAGCGAAGTTAAACGTCGACGACTCGCAGCCTCGTTTGTGGGTAGGTCGGGGTGATTCGCTTTCCATGGAAGGTTGGTCTCGTACCAACCTGCAGGATTCCTCACCAACTGCTCCTTGAAATCGTCGTAAACCGCATTCTGGTCGTTCTCCACCGTATCTGCCAGGCCGAGTACGTCTAATCTACACAGGCTTTCGAAGTCCGAGTGCGCAGTTTGGGTTAATAACATCGTACTGCGGTCGAAATCGATTCCGGGGCTCATGATGAACCAGCCCAACTTCGTTTTCTCCGCCACCGGTTCGTGGTCGCCGCCGATAACAGGCTTCGTGCTTGTTTTGATTCGTGCGTACTCGCCGTTACCGAGCACTAAATGAATGGGCAATCTATCTTTCGTATCGCAATCATCAATGACAACGTTCCCAAGGTGGTTATAATCACGAATTAGCTTCTCATAGTTCGGGTTATTAATAGTTAATAGTTCTGGTGTTTCCACTTTGGCTATTCTCACGTTCATTTTGAAATTTCCGTCTAAGGCGCGTACTTCCGTGTCGTAAAATTCCATCCGGGTTGTCTTCGAGTCTAGGAGCATGTCAACACGTTGTACTCTGGATTCAATCGGTTTACTATCAATCATCTTAATCAGCTTGGCTGAGGCATACGACCCGCCTTCGCCAGAATCAATTAGTGCACGACACTTTACACCGTTTACTGTTACTACGACTACCGGGAAAACACCATCACCGCTGACACCGTCTGTCATCAGTTTGCGCTCCCCTTCGGCGTTTTGTTGACGTTGGTCGCAAATTGAGGAGTGGTGACGTTTATTGCAGTGTTGACAGGATGCTTTGCTTGAACATTCTGTCGCACGATGTGTTCTCGTCGCGCAATTAAAACACAAACCCCTTCTTGCAAGGATTTTCTTGCGCTCGCTTGTGTCGATGACCTTTTCGCACTGCGTCGCTTTGTGACCAGTGTCCCCACAATACACACAGCCCCTTAGCTTAACTTCTTCGCCCCGCGCATTAAATAATTTTCTACGATCGCGATTGTTCTCTTCACGCTCTCTGTCATTAGATACGACTGGGTTACGTTTCACCCAATGGCGCAGAGCTTCGGTTAACTTTACAAAATCCCAGGATTCCCACTCAGCGTCAGTGCGAACTAAGTCTCCCCTAATTGTTATTATTATTATTATTATTATTATTATTATTATTATTATTATTATTATACAAAAAAACCGATTTGCAGCTACAAAGCTGAATTGCTCGGTTTACATAATGTTCTAAAAATACAATTTATAAAATTACAAGTTAAAGACTAATAATTAAGATATGATTATATATTATATAGTTTATTACGACGTATATTGCGACTAATTTCTCGAGGGTCATTGATACATTTCCCTGCACAGAATCAAGCCTTTTCATGGTTTCTAGCGCTTGAACACAATAAGACAGTTTTTCGCTAAATTCGGCGATTTTACGTGGATTTGCTGTTGTAATATGGGGCAATTCTAGTATTTCTTTTACGTAACTGTTCACTATTTCGGACTCTTTACCGTATTTGTCTTTCAGGATTGCCTTGGCTCGATTATAACCCTCTGGTGTAAACGGAAGGGCTTCAACACAGCGTTTTACTTTGGGCCCAAGCAGCTCGCGCAAGTAGGTAAATTTACTGATAGGTGCGATTGAACTTTTTCCTATTGCTTCATCAAACTGCCCCCAGAACCTAGGCCAATCCATAATCGAACCCTCGAACTTTGATATTTCTAACTTGGGTAATTTAGCTGTCTTAAATCCAGCGCATTCCTGAACTTCCGTTGCGGTCTTACTTAATTCAAGTTCAGCCTTCATTTTCATGCGTTTTTCATGCAGTTTTAACTCAACATTAAACTGCTTCTCTTGCGCTACGAGATGCTCGGAACGTTCCTTTTCCGCAAGCCAACTCTCTAGCTGATCAATTTCAACGTCCGCCAGTTCAATCTTAGCGTCAGTCTTATTGTTCCAATCATTAATTTTCTCGACGCTTTCGCCTAGTTCGATTTTTGCCGCTTCAGCAGCTCGTTTAAGTTCGTTTGATTCCCGAACAGTCTCACGTAGCGCATCGAGATGCCGCTTAATTGATTCTCTCTTACCTGAGTCCAAGATATTCTTTGTTCGAAGGACTCCTAGGTTCAACTGTTTCAGCTTCGTCTCAAGCTTCTCCATGTCACGTTTTGTCGTTGATTCGTACTTAAGATAAGTTAACTGGCGTTTCAGCTATCCCGTCGGAGGTGCCACGTGTCGAGAATGTTTGCCTCCAAAACAGTAGTCCTCGACAAATCACATTTATATATAAGTTTTAATAGAAAATATAAGAATATCCAAAATCACATTGTATGCTCGTCGCAGCTGTCTCACATCCGTTCTCTCTCACTGTCACGATGACACTCACTGATACCTACTATGACTAATCTCCCTAATTAACTATCCCTCCCTAAAGTGTTATACGATATATCTTATCTGTTTGGTCAGTTCCCAACAATGAGATCGATCATCCGGGCGCCTATAGTTGGACCATGGACGAGATGTTTCAGCTTAAATTGCATAAGAAGGCGACTTATGAGAGCCTTAAACTTAACAGAGTTTTTGATGTAAAGCCGAACACCCCCATGCACACCTGAGGTGCGGTTCTTCAATAACATATTAAAGCCAGGAATATTAAGATAATGCTCGCTAACAGAATTGTTCGCAGGTCTCAGTTAATGAAATATATTAAAGATTTATTCAATGAAAAAAACAATAACATAGTAGATAAAACGTTTTAAATTATGATCAGATTAAGAAGATGAAAGCCAATAAAATATACAGTATTAAAGCTTGGTTCTGAGAATCTTTGTCCTACGTAACGAAAGGCCTTCTTGAGCTTCGTAAACATTGTAGAACAGGCTTAAGACTTAATTAAGCTGAAAGAGAGTTTTGTCCTTATCCAAGACATAACAATAGAGTATGGTTATCTTCTTTGAGTGAGATTTTCTGACCTACTCTAGTAACTTGTAACTTTCTGAATTACAAATTTCCGAATTACAACTAACTTTCTGAATTACAATTATAACTTTCTGAATATCTGACCTAGTAACTTGTAACTATAGTAACCCAAAGGTCGCGGATTCGATTCCCACCGTGGTCAGGCAAACTTTTCAGCTTGCCCGGTGTGGATCATAGATAAGTAACATCACAAACATCATATTCACCTGAGTACATAACACCAACACACACAAAAAAGTAACTTGTCATATGTTGCGCATTCCCTTTCATCTTTCTATAACCACTCCACATTCTTAGTCTGCTTGCCTTACTTTTAACTAAGTTGTATAGTTCTTCTAGACATTCCTTTGTTAAACCTTTAAAAATTAAAATATTAACCCATTAAGCACCAGCACTATCCCCTTGACGAGTAAAATTGTCTGGCGTTAGATAGATTAAAATTGTCTGGCGTTAGTCAGAGTAAAATAATAAAGTAGGGCGCAATGCAACTAAATGGGTTAAATATGATGAGTTGCGTATGGATTTGCTATATATATATAGCTAGTCGTCTTGTCCACATGCAGCTAGCTTGATTTTCAAAGCAATTTTAGATGGCCATACACCTGTGTTAGAGTTTGACCAAACAAAGCTTTATGCAATGAGGCAATGTAATAAATAATTCACAAAGGGCCACAACTTCATTTGAATGTTATTTAGTGTTATCCTTCATAAAACTATCAAATTTGTACAAATTACCTGTGTAATGATATGTTAGTTTCGGGTTATCAACTGCTGCCATAAACAAATATCTTCCAAGAGTCTGGCTGTCTTTAAGAATATCATCAGAGTACATTTTAATATCTTTAGCTTTTAAGTTGGTCCAGAAAATTTAATTAATATTACAATTATTATTTAGCGCTTGATTAGCTCATAAATAGGATGGGTTTATTTAATACCTGTACACTAACATCTTGTTTATTTTGTTTGGCCTTGTCAGCAGACAGATTGTCAACTTCGCTAACTTCTAAACTGGGAGTCGGTATACTAGCAATATATTTTGTATCTGTTGTATTGGCTTTTGGCACTGGAGATTCACTGGTCAGCCTAAGATTCACGAGACCTTCAATAGCCATCTTTTCCTCATCTGTCAAAGATTTTGATTTCATAAACGACTTGTGAAGGTCTAACAGC